CCCCAAAACCCCAAAACCCCAAAACCCCAAAACCCCAAAACCCCGAGACATATAATTAATATTGAGAAAAGGAAAATGTTTCAATCATTATTTGGCTGTTGAACTAAGAGAGAGAATGACAGTAGGAAAAATATTTACTCTGAAGCCCCCGAAAGCCATAAAGACGATGTAAGCTGTTATTGTGACATTCTAGTACATTGATTTACTAAACCAGACGGAGAAATAAATTGAGGATCAGGAGCAGTGATCAGAAGGTATGAATATTCTGTCCAGTTTTGCCTTCACTAATGCCCCTTTTCTGCTCAAATGCATAAATCTCACTCCTTATCTTAGCCTCTCTTACAAAGAGTAATCAAGAAGATTAAAAAGAAATCCTATCAAGGAGCCATTGAGTTGGAAGAGTTGATGGAAATTATTGAAAAATATTTCATTCACTCTGATAACAAAGAGGCAGCCTACCGAGTCAATACCCTGACAGAATTCTTTGAACAGCAGTATTTTCAAAGCGATGAGGATGGGGAAGAAGGATTTCTCGATTCGTTAAAAATTAACTGCTTTTTACTGCTCATATGAACAGAGAGTGAAAACAACAATAAGGCAAGCAAAACAAATGAGCTCATACAGCTCATGCTAGAGGTGGCTATCGAGTCCGAGCATGATGAAGCAAGCGAAGTAATCTTCTATGACTAAAATTTAGGGCACAAAGCATCAATTCTATCGGAAAGATCCAATTACCCTAGAAGTATTATCAATCCTTTTCTCAGGAGCTATTATTCCATTCATCCAAAAATGAGAGGTTCAACTTTGAGGAGACGAGCACTTTGAACGTCTCCTAAACTATGCTACTACAAACCAGAATGTATTTTACCACTTTGCTAAATTTATGCTGAAAAACTACATTTTTACCTCAGCCCACAAGAGGAACAGACAGAGTACATCTTGGCCTTCTAACATATAGAGAGCAAGAGCGTTTCCTATAGTCCATCTAAGTTTCAAGGGAAGATGACTAGGTCATTCCAGTACTTCTTTGAGATCAAAATGATCCGTAAAAAGTTTCTGTATTTCGCAAAGAGTCATAGAGACTTATGCTTGGAGAGTTCGGATATACAGATTGTCAACTCCCGGAAGCAGTTTCAGGGATATTCTCAGGATGGTATGACTCTAGCATTATTATATGAGAGAAAATTCACCATTAAAAGTTTGCACAATTTGGTGCAATCGATTAAAATATATTTGGCAGTTGAATAAAATTCTCGACTACGAATTTTGGATAATCAAGAGGAAATCAGATCTCAACGCATTATTATTTGATTAGAGGCTGGTGTTATCCGCCTAGCAAGGCATCTGTAGCCTGAGTAATCTTCTCTGGATACATTTTACTGTTAGTTTATCATCAAAGATACAATAGATTTATGCTCATTAGTTTCTCCAGTCTCTTGATTGAATTAAAGCTCTGAGAAATAAAAATTACTATTGAGCAGTCTATAGAATCATTTGCTGATGTCTGATTGACTCTTTTCTGTTTAGTGTATAAAACTATCTCTGAGCCTCAACGTTTTAAGCATTTATGAATTAACTTATTTCTACCACCGTTAATTTTTATAAGAAAATTTATTTTATATTTTCACCTGCTTAAAGCTTGGTCTAGATTTGCTCAAGGTCTATATGCCCTCAAGCTACTAAAACTACTCTGAAAGAATAACTAGTTTTCATGGACCTCAGTAATCTTAGTGTTCTCAGTACTATCTTATCTACCATTTTTGCCATTTCTGATTTAAATTTTTATTCAGAAGAGAAAACAGAAACCTATGCTTCCAAGAAGGAGGAGGTGGAAGAGAATCCTTTCTTCAACAACAGTGAGATCTTTGGTACTTTTGGAGAAAAACTAGACATTGATGAAGAGAAACTTCCGAACTTTAACACCACTCGTAAGAAAAAAAGGTCATTTTTAGATCCTAATCAGACACCTGATACAATCCAAGAAAGGCTTGAGACTCTCAGTAATTACGTGGAAGGTATAGCCTTTGCTTATCTTTAGAGGATCGACATCCCCTCGAGGGTGGTATTAGCCAAACGAAATACAATTTTAATGGCACTATAGTCCTGGGAGCGAAGAGCAATCAGTCCTTCTTGCTTGATAAAAGCCAGACTCATGAAAATAGCGAAGCTCAATTTATCCAAGAGCTTAACGATAAATATGGCCAAGATTTGGTAAATATGCTTGACCTCCATTTTGAAAAGAATGTTACACAAGGAGTTTACTGGTGTGACCCAAAAATCTGCAAGATTCCTGCCCTCAAGGATAAATTTAAGATGGAGTATGAAGATGGCTCTGAATCTGAGAAAATACAAAGACCTCGGTTTAGCCATTCTTTTAGATACAGCTCTCATTTAGGAAACCAGGATGAGTCTAACTCAAATGTGACAGCTCAAGCATATTTAAAGTCTGTCATTAAAAGTCAAACGAGTTACAGACAATTCTATGAGTTCTACTTGGGTGAATACTCCAACAGTATAGGAGTTATTAACTCCTACTTACGCCTTCTGGAGGTATATGAAGAGCTAACCTTCTCTCAGGAGGGATTCCAGCTCCCAAACCAAAATTATTCTCGAACAAAGATCTTCGAGACTGATCTTCTGGATGAATTTGAGACTGAGATAAGCTCAGGCATAATATCAGATGCCTTGGATGAAGAGTTCCAGGATTTTTATAAGTATAACCTCCTAATCGTACCAATATTTGTAAGCCTGCATGACTTATCTCTCTAGAAAGAAGGCACTCTTCTCATTTTTGTAGTCATTGTCGAGGATGAAAATCCTCAAGTAAAGCTATACTTTGAAGAAGACAAAATATCTGAAGAAGACGATGGTAAGAACTCTCGGTAATTCTTTTAGAAAGAATGATGGAATACAGCCAGATCATCATCGATTTGCTCGAAAGGGCATACCTGACTGTTGGCATGAACTTTGATGACAGGAATATTGAAGGCAAGAGTATTCCGTAAGTAAAGCTCTCTAAATTCATTTCTCAATACAAATCAACACTAATCTTAAAATTTAGGATTAAAAGCATCCCAGAAATGGTAAGGTAAAGCTTTAAAAATGTAGGTCCAACAAGTTGAAGATTTGATCTTAGTCGCTCCAGACGAAAGTCACAAGTTGTCTGAAGATAGCATCAGGCATAAAATAGTTGATAGACTTTTATCAGTGTATAAACTCTAAAATTAATCAATAATGAAAAATTGGCTCGGGGTTTTGGGGTTTTGGGGTTTTGGGG